CATATGGGCTGCCAACAACATGCGCTCCTGGGACGTGGCCGCCCATATGGGCTGCCAACTGATAATCGCTTGCCAGGCGCTAGGAATGGACAGATAGGTGGGCAAACCTCGTAATCGAGTGTAAAATGCTTTTAAATTCCTTCACGGGGAAAGTGAATAAATGCTCTCTTTTCGTAACCACTATTTGTCGTTCTGATCGAAATCCTACTGTTATATGTTTAGATAATCTTTACGCATTGGACATTGCAGAAATTATTTTGTGACATTCATGTTTTTGTTCATTTACAAAACAAAATCTGCGGTTATGTGGTGAGGCGGCGGCGCCCACAAAATCGCGTCCGTCCCACGCGACCGAAAAGTGGAAAAGGGGCGTCGTCGTGAATGTGTTAAGGTTTACTTGTAACTCTACCTTGCTGCTCATTTTTGGTGGTAGAATTGCCATCTTGAGTAATTTCATAGGGTTGAGGCATGATTTTGGGATGGGATTTTGTTCAATTCAAAATCTGATTTTGGGTGCCTATCGTTCTTGGTGATCGAAGTGTATTAAATATTCCGTAATAAAGTCTTTCTCAGTCTATCCTTCTAAAACCACTCTCACACAATGTTGAAACCCATTTGATCAGTGGTCATCAAGGAAAATTCCAAAATATACGAAATTCGTCGCAAATGATTATTTCAGTGCTTCAAAATAAGCTTGCATAGTGCAGCATGACGTACTGTGCTGATTTACATATTTCATGGTAGTTGGTTCATACTCGTACCACCCTATAAGTCTATTTGACAGATTGGTGCATGACATACTGGAGACGATTTTACTGAAGCCAATGATTGAATACAATAAAAGAGCCCGTGACCGTGCACTCTCACATCGTGACTTTCGAAGATCACGGTCACGCAATGCTGATGTTTGCTTTTATCTTGTCTCGACCATTGCCATCAATTGGAGGAGCTTTCCGATGGCGAGTTTTTCGACCTTATCAAATCATCCAACACCCTCTGAAAAGCTAAATGAGCCCAATTGTGCTATGTAAGCAGTGCAACTACCTTTTTCAGATTTTATTAGCCTGGATTATAACCTTTCGATTCATTGCGTGACCCGAGTCTCGTAGGATTGAGCATCGGGTGAATCACAGACCTTGTGGGTTTTCTCCAGGAGAAGATCCTTCACTTAGCGGGTTTGGTCGGCGACAAAGATGGCTTCCTCCGTCATATGGTCAAGCAGCTGGGTGGTAATTTTATGGTCTCAAGTTTTTTGTTAGCAGAATATCATAAAATAGTAAATAGTAACAAAATAACAAATAATAACAAAATTCGTAATTTTTATCTAGCAGATATCTTTTGGTTAATGTTTTGTACCTGAAAACGACTCGTTGATGCACTAGGCGCCAGATGCAATATCATATATGATTTGTTACTTGTACCAACTTTATTTTGCTAGTCAACCCTGCAGTCACTGAATACACTTCGAAAAAGAAGAACTGCTAGAAAGCAAAAGAGTTGCATCGGCCGGGAATCGAACCCGGGCCGCCCGCGTGGCAGGCGAGCATTCTACCACTGAACCACCGATGCTTGGTGATCTGTAGCCGTGACGCTCTAGAAGTTCCGAATTTGAAATAGGTGAAAGATACTGTTGAGAGCTTGAGAAACACAACTGAAATTGAAGAAGACGCTATCATGAAAAGTGCAACAGCTTTCACTGGATGTCAATTGGGAAACAAGTTTTGAATACACAGTTTCGGCACTCATTCACTTCTCTGTTTCAGTGGCTTAGCAATGACAAAGTTTGTTATCCAACTTTCATGTCCACTTTTTCCAAATCCTTTTTCAGCCTTGGCTTCCGGAGAGAATTCTATCACTCTCGGTGAGAATACTGGGAAATACGAGTCAAAGGTGGTTCTTAACGACGTTTCTGATTGCCGCAATACTGTATATTTATCCCTACTGTTAGTACCTTTCATCTAATAACGTAATTTGCTACTAATAATACTTTTCCTTTTTGTGGTCTTTATTCAAATTCTAGAGATATAATAAGTCATGTGAAGTTCAATTTCGATTCGTTGTCTTGCAAGTCTCTACAAGTGTTGTGGGTATCTCTTGTACATATTTGTGCTACTGGACCACCACGTCTCAAAGCGGTAAGCATTTCAGCTAACCACTCTTTGAATTGTCCACTATCCTAGACATTTATCAAATGAAATGAATGAGTTACTGAGAGATTACCAATCCCTTTGAGATGCGCCACGCACTCTACATACCCCCGAAATTGTGCTGTTTAGTCTGCGTAATATACCCCCGAAATTGTGCTGTTTAGTCTGCGTAATATTTTGGGTTATGCAGTTGATAAAAAGTAACTGTATTCATTTTTACTAACTAGCTGGTGCTAACTCGCGCCTCCCGGTGTGGGTAGTGGATGGGCGGTGTGGATAGTCTGCTAGACCAGAACGGGATCGCATCTGGGACTTGGACTTTGCACCGTGGACTCGTAGCTGCGCCACTTCGCTATTTACAGAGGAAGGACAACAGGACAATATGGTCGATTGAGCTGTAAATTATATGTCCGCATCTTAAAACGTTGGCTCAGGACCGCTTTCTGCCGAAAGGATCTCTGAAAGTTCTCTCACACTCTAAACGAAATCATAACGCAGAAAAACAGATCTGAGTGGTCCGGGCTCACAGGTAGTGTCGCTGAAAGTAGTCTTCATGTCCGTCTTTCGTTGAAACCTCGGCATTTTGACAAGTGTAATTATTTCTTCTGTGCCTGACAGGTTTTGTATGGTGGAAGATTTATTGCCTGACGTTTCGACGAAATCGTCGTTTTCAAAGGCCTGAAAGCGTTTCCGAAACTTTTACGAACTTAACCTATCCGCTCAACACAATATGCGCTAAGCTAAGTAACACTCGTACTAGTGAACCATGGATTGGAAATTTCAAGCACGGTTTCTCATCTCAATTCCACCAGTGCCTAAAAAGTTTTTATGTGTTGGATCTTTTGGTTCTCATCGGCTTCATAACTATTAGGTACCGGATATCTTAGTGTCGCTTTTCTGAGTTCAGGAAGTTTTGGGGCCGATTACTATGGAAAATCAATATCTCAGAAAGTCCTTTTTGCTCATTAATACTGCGAAATATGTTGCTTATTGTTTTCTATTGTTGGTTCACAATTTAACTTTCCCCAATTTTTATACTTTTTTTTGAAAATTCCTGGGTCCAGTGTGCAAATTCGCATGTGTGTACCAAATGCTTCAAAATTCTTGCTGAGAGCTACAACTTCCGCCCACCAAACCAACATTGCATTTGTTGGAGGGAATACTACCATTTAAAATGCTCATCGGTTTTTCACAGTTTTCTCAAAAGACAGTGAAGTCTTTGAAGTGATGCCCGCAATCGTCGTCAAAAAGGTGGCCCTAGTTAAATCAGTCGAGACGGGGCTGCACCAGTCTTGTGCTGAAATGGTAGGACACCTTAGCAGTGACTGATCGATGATGCACAAACGCTTTAACGAAGTTGATTGCACAAGAAATTCTAATAAATGTGCTCATCTGCTACTCACGTGTGCTCAAAAAGGGTGCGTTTTTGACCCTATGTGGCAAAAAAGACTCCGGGAAAAATTGTCCAGTTGAGCTGGTAAGTTATAACTTTTCCACCATACAGTGCAGACCCTACTCTAACTAACTGTATACTTCTTTTGTCCAGGCCTAACTTTTTAGCAAGTGAGAGGGATGATTTGTCAGATGATGTCAAAACCGACCTACCTCTCTTTTTCGACTCAAAAAATTCCTAGCTTTAATCGTACGAGGTTTCCACTCATACTGGTAAATGGGAAAGTGCTAATGAGTCATTCGATGAATATGCTGTTTCACTCCCCGGATTCTGAATTAAAATATTGGTGGTCCGAAACTCGTGGTGAAAAAACGACACTAAGATATCCGGTACCTAATACATCAGCGCTTACCGTCCTTTTATTTCTTTTGTGATCTGTGATTTATGCACATTTCTCAAAACTTTTGTAATTGAGCATTAGCGTAAAATATTCCTCGAGTGACAGTGAATATAAGCAGTTATTTCGTATTACCATTCGTACACATTCTTTGAAAAAGAAGAGAAATGAATCGATCACCAGTCAAGAAATCTCTAGTCGTTCCATTCCATTCCGTCCCTTCCGTCGTTCCGTTCCACGATTATTTGAATAATGTGGTTCCAGACATGTGTGCTTCTGTTTCAACGATTGCTGTCTTTGGATTTGGGCAACGAAATTGTTTGCCGACTAGTGTTTGATGTGATCATGGCAACAGAGGAGTTCATACTCGAACAGAACAAACCGACAGCTGGTTTGCAGGCATTGCTACAAGCTCACGAGAGCTGCTTGAAGGTGCATTATCAATTTTCAATTTCCCAAGAAATCCTTGTACTGATTTTGCTGAATTCATCAAAGGATAGTGTCTATAAGAAAAAGATCTTTGCTCATTTATTTTTTCGATGGATTCCTTATTATTTTCGCCAATGCTTTCCTATTACGTGATCAAATAAAGGTTCTAGGTATTAATGGAGCTTCTAGAGGACATGGAACATAAAAGATCATTCGAAGGCATAGCTGTCTCGGTCATTGTAGGTTGGGGTATTCGTGCAGCCGAATTGGGATTTCTCTATTCTATCACACGTAAGGGGGCTATTTCTGCTAATTAATCAGTTTTTGGCACTTCAGAAAATACAGTTTACTGTGATTTCAACTTTTCAGCTGCCCGCTTCGAGATCGTCACTACGGCCGTTACCCGTCTTCTGAGCCGTCTGCAGGGTGATTTCAACGAGGAACATATGAATTTGATTAGTCTTTTAGCTGATCTTACTCAGGTGTGAAAATTCTTTCGTTCGCAATAATTGCAGTGTTTTTCTTGGCTCTGAAGGACTTGAAAAGGCTCATTTCAATCAAGTTTCAGAAGCCTTGCCAATTCCAGAATATGCTCAGATTCATTGTATTTATTCATCTTTAGCAGTTTTTAGGACGTAGTCGCTAGTTTGTCGCCGCAATTTTTTTTTAAATTTTTTTCCCATATTCCGGTAAACGCCATGCTGTTCCTCATCTTCATCATTTTCAAAATATGAAACTAACGATAGGTCTAGACATAGGCGGGTAGCGAGACCTGCCGTAATGCTCCAGCCTGAAACATTTGTGTAATTCCTTCGATTGAGTCAGCGGTGGACAGATTTCTAGACCGTGACTTCCATTCTAGACAACCGCCGGGAACCTGGTAGGAATTCCTATGGTCCGCAGTACCACTGCACCCTGATCTCAAGGGCATTCTTTTCCGTGTTGGAGCTTTCCGAAGAGGTGGCGTAACTGTATTTGTGGAATCTGGGCTGAGAATGTCGCTGAGTACCGGAGATAGCAATCCGATGACATATGGCCCATCGAACTGTCAGACGTGACGTTGTGGCAAACTCGTATTCTAGCACGACCAGGCGCCGGTGCACGGTGTTCTGGAAAGCTCCCTCACCTGGAATTTGCAGGCAAGACCTTCCACTTATAGTTGAAGCTTGATTAGTTCTGTGGGAATTGGATGGGGGAGGTGAATGGGTGTGCCAGTCAGTTCGAAATTCCATCAGAATTTTTGGACATGCCAATTGTCGATATTGTGTTCAAGTGCATCGTTTTCAACCTCTCTGTTTTTCTTACGAATATTTTATTAGTGTTCGATTCTCGATCTCTACTTTTTGACGAACTTTATTTTCGTTTTTTTTTCGAAGTCAATTTTGTTCCATTTACACCTATTTTAGCGAATATGTAGTTCAGTTGTGTGTCATTTCATGTTTTTCATTTCAGAAGCTGGTCGAGCGATTGCTTGCTCTCGAACCAACCAGTAATGGCGCTATTGTTGAGAATTTGCATTCATACTATTCATTTTTGCTTAATGTCGATCTGATCTCATCACAGAAGTAATTCGACCAATTTTACACTTGATCTTGTGATACGTTCTGATTTTTCGATTTTATTACGAATTTTTCAGTGTGAGAGGTGGCTGGATAGCATCATATTGTGAATCGCGTTGGCAAACTCTTTTGCGAGATGGAAAACACGGTGATGCAATGAAGATCAGACGAATCACTACTGCGGCGCTTGCTTTGTGCAACGGCAGAAATGCATCGTTGGTCTTTATGAATATTCTGCCGACGGAGCAACAGCTCATTCAAGTAGGTCCATGCTAGTCTCACTGGCGCTGTTAATCCATGTGTGCGTGGCAACTGCTAGGGTTATACTTCTGCCCTAGCGTAAATGTGGTCATGAACTCAGGTGGTGTGGCAAGACTTTTAAATAGCGCTTAACGCCGGAAGGCTAATTGCTCTCGACTAATTGGAAAGTTGGTGGGTACAAGAGCGGCGTACTTTTTTGCATGCTTGAGTCTCGTCACAGCTCAACGAAGAGCTGTACCAATTTGCTCCGGGCAGAATAGAGGCGCAAAAGTGACATCGGGTTCTCTTGTGGCGTTTTTTGGAGGTAAAGGATGATTCTGCGAGAGAGACGGATGTCGAAGAAAGGAAAACTCACCTAGTAGAGGACGTAATAGAAGACTCTTGAGAGACTAGCAAAGTCACCCGCCTCGAAGGGTTGCCCGGCGATCTATGCCATTGCCATCCCCACATTTCATCTCGTCCGCCACACCGCTTATCCGGCGTCATACGTTCCTCTCCTTGCTGTCTTGCAGCCTTCATGCGTCTTGTCAGAGAGAGAGCTATCATTAGTGATGAAAGGCGGCCGATGGGAGCGCTATCAAAGCGGAACTCAACGGGCAGTGATGATCGCTATTCTCTGGGTCCATGCCACTTTCTCGTTTTTCTTCTTTCTGCATCACTGACGCACTTCTAAATTGATTATTCATGCTGCCTTTCAATCGTAAAAGTCGCGATCAGCCATGCGATTCCGTGCGGATACTGCTTTCTAGTTGATTCACGATTCCTTACATTCATCCACTAAAGACATTTTATAGGTACTCGAAGCTGCTTCTTCATTGGGCCCCGCGGCATCAGGAGTTTTTCTGACTGTTTTCGAAATCGTTGGTGATTTGGTTTCTCGCCACACCAAATTTCCCCCGACAGCATCCGTCGCTTTTCTCTCTTTACCTTGGCTCATGGTGATTTGATGGTCTTTTTTTATTTCTGCCATGTATCCAGTTTATTTGTTTTGTTTCAGGACCCTGAGCTGCAACTGCAATCCAAGCGTCATATGACATCGCTGCCCTTGCTGAGGGAAATGAATCGTTTGGCAAAAACGCATGCTATTAGTGCAAGTCAGCTTTCTTGTGCGAGAGACCCCAAAAGGGCTGCATTTTGAGTAGACGGTCAATTATACTACAAAATTCCAGGCGATGACGTCTTAGAGTATACACTGTCCGCTCTATCATCCATACATGGGTTTTGTGACTGGCGTCGTACTATCTTGCTTTCGGCAATGTCTTCTCATCGTCCAACGTTGGTGCAGGTAGTTTGAAGCACTATTTACAATTTTTTCCAATCGCTATTCAGTTTCCCCACATTTTTACTCTGTACCTGTCTCCCCATCTGGTCTCTTCGTTTTAAGAAGTGGAAGAAAGCCTAGTGATGCGGACGAGAGTGTGCCGGAAGTAACCCAAGCGATGCCTCATCCCAGGGCCCTTCTTACTTGTCGGTCGCATTTTGTGTTCTCTGTCGGATCGCCCGCCAACCAAGATTGCAATTAAGGGAAGCATGCTTGAGCTTTCCCAGTGAGGGTTCACATAAAACTTGAGAAAGTGGGCAGCATGTTCAGGAACGAAGGTGGAATGGTCAACTTAGGTTTTCGGATTATAGTAATGTGACACCGAGCTCCGACCCTCCCAGCTCCTCAGGTGTAGGCAGGGTAACCGTCCGTTGTTCCGTTCCCGAAAATTTTGCGATCCACCGTTATGGGGGATCTTATACGACCACTTATCACCACCATTACCTTCAAGGTATTGCCCCCATACCACCCCTATCACTTTACTCGGACCGCCACCCTCGTCATCGTGACTGTTTCTACAATACATACATATGTACAAGTATTTAATTTTGATATCAGTTGGCACAACCCAACTTATCCCCTTTTTTCTCTAAAATGGCCGAGGAGTGTTAGTAACGTAGGAGGGGATGAATAGGCCCACCGGAACTGGAAATGCTCCATTCTTGTCATCTTACCTTTTTTCGTGGAGGCTCCACCAAAAACACAAAAAAAATTGCCAAAGATCCGATATCACTCCATCACAATCCGCTAAACTTCCAAAGTTCTCAGCCTTTTGACCTTCACCGACCGCTAATACGGCCTCCACCCCCTCTGAAAAATAACTTACCTACCCCATCGTTAAGAGCTGCGCAACGTTTGCTGTGCGATCACCACGGATTTGGGTTGGTGGAGACGGGTCGGGACCAGGGTCAAGCGAGGCGTCGAGGAAAATTTGGAAATACGACCCCCCCCTCCCTCCGCCAGAGGCCGAAGTCCATGAAACGACCCTCTTCAAAAGCCGAACTATGAAAAGGTTGTTTAATTCTCCCCAAAACTGTTCATAAAAAAGCCTGCTACCCCACCGTCCACCAAAAATTCGTTTAAGAAGTACAAAAGTGAAAAAGTCAAAGAATGATCATTATTGATGAGTCCTACCAAACGAGCAAACGAGAAACGGAGCAAAAAACGACAAACTAGTCACTAAAAATGGCATACTATGACAACATCTCTTCTTTATTTATTTCCTTCACAAGACTTACCAAATTCTAGTACTACACAGATGGTTCTCAATTTACACGTCCCCCTTTCGCTTGAAAGGAAGCCTTGTAAAAGCCTTCGCCAGCTGTGT